TCCTTCAGTTGTTGGGCAGAGAGGTAGCAGGGGCCTTACAGGGCATGGCTAAGAGTTTGGACTTTATATTGATTGTAGAGAAGCCACTGCAAGTAGTATAAAACTATAAAACAGAATAATCACTGTGATGGTTGTGTGAACTCACACCATGTGGTACACAGACAGAGACAGGAAGATGGCTTCGAAAGCCTTTGCAGAAGTTCTAGAAAGACTCGGGGGTGGCCTGGGCTCAGATTTAGGGGTGGAGGGGGGAGGTTAGGAGTGCTTGGATTGGGGATAGATGCTAATCGATCGAACATGAGTGTGGGAGCAAGGCAGGAATCAAGGATGGTTTCGGGTTTTTGGACTGAGCAACTGGGTGGAGTTGGCTCCAGGCCACATGCCTAGTTTATCTGGCCCGTGTCCATTCATGCTGCTGAGATGAGGAACCATGGAGAAAGTGTAGATTTAGAAAACAACTCAAGAAGCTGTTTTTGGACATGTTACATCTGAGATGTCTTATTAGGCAACCAAATGTAGGTCATCAACATACAGATGGTATACCCTCATATACCTGGAAATGAATGAGATCATCTCAAGAATGAGCTGAGATAGGAAGTGGTCAGAGACCAAAACTCATGACACTCCAAAGTTTAGAGGCCAGGAATAGGAAGAGGAGGTTCCAGCAGGGGAGATTAAGAAAAAACAAGAGAGTTGTAAGCAGAATCAAGATGGAGTAGCATCGCAGATGCCAAGTGAAAAAAGAATTTCGGGAAGGAGGGAGCTGCTGAGATAGACATGAGCTCCACGAGGAAGTGCCAAGGGTCGCTGTGACTCATGATGAATGAACAATGCTCTGAGATAACATCCCTTACTCATAAGTGTACCCAGACTTCTTAGTAATCTGGAAAAGTAACCCTCAGTTCATCTAGAACACCAACAGTCTGTTTCCACAAATGCCTTACCACATGGCAAACCCTCCTTCAGGATTCTCCCAGGAAGCAACCCAGGGGAGCCCTGTGCCTGCAAAACAGACACAGCTCCACATGGGTGGGCTGCAGAAATGGGACGCAGACAAATGCTCACAGCAGAGAATCGGGAATGTTAGGGCAGGACAGAACTATTTCACAGGATACTACCTTTTTCTAACTCATAGCCAGTGAGAGAAAAACGAATGCAACCACTCCTTCCATCTTAAATGGATAATTTCTGATTACCCATTGTGTCTCACCCCTTTTCTTCCACCATTCTTTGTTCATGTTGCAGCACCTGACTTTAAAAAAAGTCAGACTTACTGAGGTTTAACTTATATACATACAGTGAAAATCTACTCATTTTAAGTTTGATGTGTTTTGACAAATATATACAATCATGTGAGCTCCACCACAATGAAGAGAGAGTATTCCCATCACCCCCAAATACTCCCTCTTGCCCCTGCGCAGTCAACCTCCACCCACTTCCAGTTCTTGGCGAGAAATGATCTGATTTCTGTATCTACAGTTTTGGTTTTTAGGAATGTCGTGTAAGTGGAACCACAGGGGATGCTTCTGGCTTCTTTTACGTAGCAAAATGCTTTTGAGATCTGCCCTGGAGTTGCCTGGATCAGGAATTTGTTCCTTTTTGCTCCTGAATAGTATTCTATAGCATGAATGTACCCCAGTTTATCCATTTGCCAGCTGATAAACATTTGAGTTGTTTCCAGGTTTTAGCTATTATAAAAAACAAATAAACTCCTATACACCTTTGCTAAAAGGTCTTCAGTGAACACAGGTTTTCATTTCTCTGGGGTCAATACCTGGGAATGGGATCACTGGGCCAGGTAGCATCTAGCCTTTGTCCTCTAAGAAGAGAGAAACATTCACTGAGCACTAGCTTTGCATCACACAATGTTCTAAGCTCTTTGTATACTTTAGGTTATTCCATTCTAAACATGACATCCAGTTATTATTGTTCCCGTCTCACTTAAAAGGAACTAAGGCACCCAGAGGTCAGGTCACCTGCCGGAGATCACACAGCTAGCAGTGGGTAGCGGAGTCAGGATGCTCACACCCAGGAACTGCATGGCAAAGCACAAATTATCAAGCATTTTGCTTTGCTGCCTCCCCCAAGACAAATGCATGTCTGAGAGAGAGAGCACAGAATCCTACCTGATGCTCTATGTCTTCTGAACAAAAGTGGCCATTGCTGACTATCCCCTTCCTTCCTTTTAATGCACGACAATGACACCATTGCAATAATAACATGTCATTTTTAAAGTCAGAACTTTATAGGATATGAAGGGGAAAGGCTTTTAACTGTTTCACAGACATTTATAAATGTTGATTTTATTGGTGGTAAATAAACCCTAAGAGGAGCAAGCGTCAGCCCTCCTCTATCAGCATGGTAAATACTCATAATTAACAACATCTCTTCTGGAGACATTGCTACTCTCATAACATAAGAGGCCGCCTTTGGTGAAAAAAACACAGACTCTGGAATCAGACAGACCTGCTCCCTCGTGCACAAATGCACATGTACCTCCTCACACGCTGAAATTGGTGTGAATAGGCCTAATGTGCAGGGCAGCCATAGAGATCCTATGGCACAACCTGGGTGAAACCACTGACCCTTACGCCTTTCTTCGTCAGTAAACCCTCCTCCCTCTTTCTCCTCTTCCAGATCATACTGCTGAGCTGCTGAAATTAGGATAATGGAAGTAGATTACTTAGCAAAAACTTTTATTGGTTTGTTAGTTTTGTATCCAAATAGCAACGAAGGAGAAACTGGAAGGCAGTTTTCTCATTTTTTTTTAAAGTCACAAAAACGTTGCACTTTATTCCACAACACAGAGCTATTTTTTGTGTTATGTCATGCATCTGTAACAGATATTTTAAAGCCATTTATGCCTTCTTCACCCCTTCCTCCCAATACTCTGCCCCCCACCTCTGCCAACTGCTTATTTGGTCTCTGTATCTGTAAGTGTGGTTTGTTGTAGTTCAGATCCCACATATAAGAGGCATCCTACATATCTGTCTTCCTCTGACTTATTTCACTTAGTATAATGCCCTGGAAATCCATCCATGTTGTCACAAATAGCAGGATTTCATTCTTTTTTATGGCTGAGTAATATTCCATTATATATGTACATTTTCTTAACCATTCAATCACCAATGAAAAGCTTTTTTTCATATCTTTGCTACTGTAAATAATGCTGCAATGAACATGGGGGTGCATATATCTTTTCTAGTTAGTTTTCACTTTCTTCCATAAATACCCAAATGGAATTGCTGGATCATATGAAAGTTCTATTTTTAATTTTCTGAAGAATAGCCGCTGTTTTCAATAGTGGCTACACCAATTTACAATCCTACCTCCAGCGCATAAGGGTTCGCTTTTCTCCACATCTGTACCAACTCTTGTTATGTCTTTTCTTTTTGATGACAGCCATTCTATCAGGTGTGAGGTGAGCGATCACTGTAGTTCTGATTAGCATTTCCCTGATGATTTGTGATGCTGACCATTTTTCCATGTACCTGTTGGCCGCCACCTGCGTGTCTTCTTTGGAAAAGTGTCCATTCAGATTTTTAATGACATTGTTATTTTTTCTTTTACTATTGAGTTTTATGAGTTCTTTACATATTTTGGAGATCAGTCCCTTACCAGATATGATTTGTGAATATTTTCTCCCATTCAGTAGGTTGTCTTCTCATTTTATTGGTTTCCTTTGCTGCACAGAAACTTTGTAGTATGACGCAGTCCAACTTACTTAATATTGCTTTTGCTTTTGGTGTCAGATTCAAAAAGACCTCTCTATTGAGGTGCTTACCGCCTATTTTTTTCTAGGAGTTTTACAGTTTCAGGTCTTACATTCAAAGTTATTTTAATATAAAAATGTTGTGTACATCCCTCCAGCCCAATGGATTAGCGTTCTCCTACAACTTTTAAGAATATTTGTTTTAGGAAGATTTCCCCTGATAAGTGGTGGCTTTACTTAACCGCTGACACCTTGCCATTTACCTGGGACATGAAGACTCCCAATCATAAAGCACGAACCTACAAAATCTTAGAAAGACTTCATAATGTTCTCACACACTCTGGGCATCATTCTCTCCTGTCTGCAACATCTTAAATGTCTACCCTACAACACTGCCCAGCTTGCAATCTTGGCTCCAAAAACTTTTAACTCTGAATTCTCCAAACAAGAAAACAGCTACTTCCGCCGACCCCGCTGTGGAGCCTGCTGGCCATCTGTAAAGTGAAGAAATACTGGCTGCAATCTGCTTTCTGAGACAAAACTCTGTTGCAGCTACAAGAGTAACCATCCAAAACATATTTTTCAAATAAAAATAAGACCGTGGCTAAGCATAACCTTCGGTAAACTGGGACGACAGATTCATAGTTTTTAAAACTCAGTTGAAAAGACTGTACCATGTTAATCCAGAGAAGCCCAAGGATTTAACTCAACTATGCGAACTCGATGTGGCTACTCAGTTATACATGCAATACGGTAAAAGAAGTCATTCCGTCCTTAACACGTATTTTCATGAAATTGCATTATTTTTCTTCAGACACATTTTCATCCTAAAGTAGTGCTGCACGTTCCTTTCTGTTTATGACATACACACTTGTATGTTACTCAAAAGATCCTGGCTGTTTTAAGTACTTTGAGCAACACATAAAGTGAGTGAAATCTTCTTTTCATTATTTTGTCATCAAAAGCCCTCTCCTGGAAGGCAGGGGTAGGAAGTCCTTGGGTATGAGACCTTGACCCACAGTATAGTGGGCTGTTGACAGGTAAAAAAAAATAACTTTTGCTTTCAGAAGCTAGCATATGGGAATAGATTTCTTTTAAAGCAATCCATGTGGACTAATTGATGAACAAAAGTTAGGGAACTTCAATACAAGCAACAGTGCCTGGGACTCAATGACAGGCCAGCAAGTTCCAGAAAGAATAAGAGAGATTCAGGCTCTGTCCCCCCGGAGGTGACTGACACCCGGGACAGATAAGGAAGGGTGCGGTTCAAGGAAAGAGGGCAGCTTACCCAGACCGGACGGGTGAGTCTGAGTTCTCAGAAAAGGCCTCTTGGAGGCGGGAACATCACCTGAAGGATGAGGAGGCATTAATCAATATACAAGGAGGCAGTGTCAGCAGCAGCAAGACCAGCTGGAGCCCCAGGCCTGCTTCCACAACAACCTGAGCAAACCGTGTGGCCTTTCTTGCTCTCATTTTTCCTTTTCTGCGAGATGGGATGGTGAGATATGTCCATTGACCTTATCCCTTGCTGTGTGTAAGAATCATCTAGAAGCTTTCTAACCATCACCTAGGAGCTCCCTCCCCTAGAAATATGGTTTCAATTAGTGGGACACCAGTGTTTCTTTAAGAACCTTTCCAGGTAACACCGGTCTGCAACTGAGGCGGAGGACCACCGAATGCAGTGACCTCCTAAGTCCCAGACATCTGTGTCCGTGGCTCTCAAACAACAGTGCACCATCGCCTCCTCTGCAGAGCTTTTAAATATCCCAGTGCAGGCTGCATTCCAGACAATTAAACCAGAATCTCTGAGGTTGGGCCCAGGCATCAGAATGTTCTAATGTTCCCAGGCCGATTCCAAGGTGTGGCCAAGGCTGAGAGCCACTCTTCCAGGCCCTCTTGGCACTTCAGTTTCCAGTTATGGCCCCTGAAGGAGGAGGAATAAAGGGAGCAGGAAAGCTCCTAAGGTCTTGTTCTCTCATTCTTGTCTGAAATTAAGTTTTTTTAGCCAACTGAAAAGACTTTAACACATTAATCCAGAGAAGCCTAAGGATTTAATCCAATGTGCTAACGAAATGTGGATGCTTAAAGCTATAGATGCAATATGGTAAAGGAAATAAGTTAGCATTTAACTCATATTTTTATGAACTGAATGCCAGAGGCCACCGATGCGTTTTAAATGGGGTTGTACCACACAGTAGGGCTGGTTTTGGACACGTGCATAATTCTTTTTTTTTTTTTAATACATTTTATTGATTTTTTACAGAGAGGAAGGGAGAGAGATAGAGAGTTAGAAACATCAATGAGAGAGAAACATCAATCAGCTGCCTCTTGTACATCTCCTACTGGGGATGTGCCCGCAACCCAGGTACATGCCCTTGACCGGAATCGAACCTGGGACCTTTCAGTCCGCAGGCTGCCGCTCTATCCACTGAGCCAAACCGGTTTTGGCACGTGCATAATTCTTGGTGATGAATGACAGGCAGAAGAAGCCTGTTCCAAAATGCTCTCGGTTCTAAATTTAACATTCAGTGGAACACATCTATTAACTGGCTCCATGGTGCCTTCTCTGCAACACTTAGAATTTGATTTGCATGGTTGACTACAATATGAACATTACATTCCCTACCCCCATGGTTACTTAAATCCTCTCATTAGGTAACAGTGAACTAAACAAACAGTAATTAGAAACACTCCAGACTACCTTTTCAATCTGTTGCTAAATTATACTTTTTCTGCACCAAAGCCCGTACACACAGCACGTCTACAGGCCTCATGAAACCAAAGTCTCAGAAATATTTACATGAATAAGAGCACAAGCTAATTCGGGGCCTCCACACTGGGTTCCACAGGGAAGTCAGGGCTGCTTTAGAAGAGGACTGGTCATTCCTCTTGTCCCTCACATTGGGTAAATGAAGCACGGCCCACCTGTGGTTAGAAATCCCAGGAGGAAAGGAACGCTGGGGCGGGTGGGGGGGTTGTCTGGAAATGAAGAAACACCTCTGACAGACTGCCTCATTTCCTAAAAGGAGTCAGAAATGAAAGTAATTCTTCAGCAGAGAACATCTGCAGCTTGTAAAACAATGCCAGATGATACCTGTGGCGAAGCGGTAGGGCCTGGGGAGGGAGGGAGGGCTGGGAGCCCAGGACTGGGACCTCCGCACTGCACTGCACCATCGCAGAGCTGCACTGCTAGCTGGGAGGGTCTGCAAATCCAAGGAGTGCCAGGCATCCCTGTCTCAACTCTAAATCTTCATTAGCAGCAAGACTGCTCACATTCCATTAACAAGCTGGCCCCTCTCCAAAGGGCGGAAGCAGCCAGGGAGGGTTCATGCGCGCCCTGGGCGTGGAAACAGCAATTCTTAGAAAAAAAGCTGTTCTACTTAACAAAAATAGTCTACGCTTGTTAATAATTCAAACTGACCTTTCCTCCTGAAGAAGGATTGCCCGATAGAGATGAGCTAATGCCGCCAAAGGAAGCCAGGAAGGAGAGGTATGCACTGGCATATGGTCAGGTCCAGGAAGGTAAGAAAGCCCACACCTTTCCCAACACCTCTGGTAAGGACCAATACACAGAAAGGAGAAAAACAAAGGCTGGCTTCCCCCAAATAGGAGGCTAGTCCAGTGATGGCGAACCTATGACACGCGTGTCAGAGGTGACACGCGAACTCATTTTTTTTGGTTGATTTTTCTTTGTTAAATGGCATTTAAATATATAAAATGAATATCAAAAATATAAATCTTTGTTTTACTATGGTTGCAAATATCAAAAAATTTCTATATGTGACACGGCACCAGAGTTAAGTTAGGGTTTTTCAAAATGCTGACACACCGAGCTCAAAAGGTTCGCCACCACTGGGCTACTTATTTCTGTTAGGTGGCTCCTCACTATTCTTTTGATCATGGACTCCAACTCTATTGCTTGCAATTGCAGCGGTTGGGCGGGGTAGGGGGGAGGAGCAAAGAGGAGGGAACCTGGAAACAACCTAAATGCCCATGAATAAGTGACTGGTTAAATCTAGTTAAATTAAAATCTGATACATACACAATGTAATACTGTGCAGCCTTTTAAAAGAAGGCCAACAGAGAGCATGAGCAGAATACGGAGTTATCTGTACTCTGTATGATACATTAAGACACGAAAAAAATGTGCCTGCTGCCTGTATAGCAAACATCGATGCAAAGGTGTTGAAAGAAGTTGCCTTAGTGGAGAAGGGAGGGCCAAGAGAGTATTATTTTTGCCTTTTATACCCTTTAGTACAGTTTTAATTATCTTTTCATGTACTTATATCCTCCTCCTTTTAATAACAGGCATTAAGTGGGTAGAAGGCTATTTTCAATTTCTCCTTTATACAAGTTTCTTTATGTATAATTTAAAACAAAAAATGCTATTTTAAATAGATGTTATAGGCTCAAATGGGTCTCCTCCAAATTCATAACTTGAAACACTAACTGCTAGTATCTCAGAATGCAACTGTATATGGAGACAGGGCCTTTAAAGAGGCCATGAGGTTAAAATGAAGCCGTTAGGGTGGGCCCTAATTCAATCTGATCAGCATCCTTTTAAGAACATGGAATATGGATGCGTGCAAAGACGCCAGGGATGAGCACAGGAAAGACCATATGAGAAAACAGCAAGAAGGTGGCTTCTGCAAGCCAAGGAGAGTGGCCTCAGAAGAAACCAAATGTGCCAACACCTTGACCTTGGACTTACTAGGTGTACGTTAATAACGAGGATTTTTTTTCAACAGATGGAGTTACACATATGTTGATATATATGCGATTTGATATGTTAACACCGGTGGTCTTAATCCAGCATCTAGAAGGGTTCAGGAATCTGGAGAAGGGCTATGCATAAATTAATCAAGAGCCCAGAAATGAAACATAATTTTGAAAGATATCATGGGGAGTCAGAGAAGAGTTAGCTAAAGGAATTAAGTTCTCCTTGCCTCAGGACCCCTTGCTATTTATTAACACAATTTGTCCTAAAGCAAGGTGGAGATATACAAATCAAAGGGTAGGGTTTTGTATACACAATCCATTGTCAGATTGGGGAACTGCCTATGACTGTTCAGGTGTTTGGCCAGTAGGAGGCAATAACATGTAGATTGAGATGCCCTCAGCTGTCTGGCAGCAAGCAATCATGATGCATCCTTTTCAGGTTTGGGGCAATGCCCTCAGCCATCTCGAGATGATTCAGCCCTGCTGACATGCTGGAATTGGCTTCCGACAATATGTATGCTATTTTGTTGTATTGACAGCAAGCTTCAAAACTTCTTATGTCAAATTTGCTGAAGGTGTTAACATCATAGATATTTTTATGCTTAAAAATGTCAAATTTTGTGCCAAAAAAAGAGCACTTGTGGGAAGTTTTAATTCATTACTTTATTTTGAAGAAAATGTTATTCAATATGTTGGGAAGCTTATGGTGAACATGCTCCATCTCAAGATACTTGTGAACGCTGGTTTAAATGCTTTAAAAGTGATGACTTCGATGTGAAAGACAAAGAACGTCCAGGTCAACCAAAAAAGTTTGAAGACCAACAATTACAAGCATTGGATGAAGATGCATGTCAAACTCAAAAACAACTTGCAGAAAGATTAAACATTGCTTGGCAAACAATTTCTGATAGTTTACAACAATGGGGAAGATTTTAAAGGAAGGAAAATGGATGCCACATTAACTGAACGAAAGACAAATGGAAAACCAAAAAGTCATCAGTAAATGTTGCTTCAATGGCACGAAAGAAAGTCTTTTTTGCATCGAATTGTGACTGGCAATGAAAAGTGGATTTATTTTGAGAATCCCAAATGCACAAAATCATGGGTTGATCCAGGTCAACCATCAACATCAACTACAAGGCCAAACTGCTTCAGAAAGAAGACAATGCTCTGCGTTTGGTGGGATCAGGAAGGTGTGGTGTATTATGAGCTGATAAAACCAGGTGAAACCATTAATACTGATCGCTACCGACAACAAATAATCAATTTGAATCATGCTTTGATCATGAAAACAACCAGAATATGCCAGAAGACACGGCAAAGTAATTTTGCTTCATGATGATGCACCATCACACACTTCAAAACCAGTTAAAGACACATTAAAAGATCTTGCCTGGGAAGTATTAATCCACCCGCCGTATTCACCAGTCCTTGCTCCTTCAGATTACCACTTGTTCCGATTGATGGCACACACACTTTCTGAGCAGCACTTCAAAACATATGAAGCGGAAAATTGGGTCTCTGAATGATTTGCCTTAAAACAAGAAAAGTTCTATTGGGACAGTATCCACAAATTGCCTGAAAGATGGGGGAAATGTGTAGCTAGTGATGGACATTACTTTGAATAAA